GTCTGATTTCCTTCGGCAGGGGGGAAGGAATTGTATTATGTTTTGAAAATATATATATACTTTTTGGGTGTAAGAGTAAAATGTGCCACCAAATCTAATCCAAACAAAAAGTGTGCCTCTGGTACCCAAAGTTTGGGAAACACTGATTTACTAAATACATCAACATAATCTATAAAAACTCTCAGTGTCTCTCCAGTTCCATTCCATGAAAGAATATTTTTTTTTCACTAATCTCATCGGTGGAGAGAGAAACTCAAGTGTTTTGTCCTACGAAGTTAAACATTTCAATGTTTTGCCTTCCCCAGGTGTTTCCTCTTCAATGCTGCACTAGTCACCCTACGAAATTTTCAAGAATTAATAAATACATACCATGGGGTTTGGTATCGATGAGTGCTCTTATCTTCAGCAGCTTGACGAAATAATCCATTCTGTCAAAAAAACAAAACAGCATGTTACATTTTGTGAATTTTCACATTACAGTTGTTTGCCCTCTCAGATTAGACTGGGAGGAAGAAACAAATCAATTAAGAGACTTGAAAACCAGGAAAGAAATCTGTGTTTGCAGGTAGAAATAATTAAGAAATTGTGGTTCTTATCTCTTGGGCTGTGAAAGTAATTTTTGGCTCCTTTAAAATGTATAGAGGAAGAATTTAAGACAACAAAACATCAGTGGGGGTCTATTTTTTCAAGCTCTCATCACTGGAGCGAAGTTATTTAAGTGTTAAGCAATTATTTGTGTGACGGGCTAACTGGCAATGACTTAACCCAGGGGTTTTGAAAGGGCAAAAGATGATTGGAAGACTTGGGATTCCCTTTCCTCACCAATCAGGCCCCAGAGACTCACCCTCCATGTCCCATGATTGGCTCCTTGGGTCACCTGGAGGGGGATAAAAGGGGCAGCGTGGCTAACTCAGAAAAGACCAGCAAGGGACAGCAAGGAAGGAGATGCAAAGAGCTGAGCCAGCGGGGTGGGAGCAGTTGCCTCAGAAGAGCCTGAAGGAGTGGGACCTGCAGGCAGCGGTTGGACCCTCAGCCGCGCAGTGTGCGGCCGGCAGGAGAGGCTCCCCCTGGGCTCTAGGATCCCCTACGAGAGGCTGCAGCCAGCAGGAGAGGCTCCCCCTGCTCCAGGAAGGATCTGAGCAGCAACCTGAGGGGTTCCCAGCTTTGCTTCCAGCTCCTCCAATTAGGGGCCAGGCAGCTTGATGTGAGGCTGGGGCTCCAAGAAAATCAAGACCCCTTATAGCTTGACACAGTACCAGCACTGGTGACTGTGGCAGTGTTTCTGCCTACCATGCGGGAGACCTGAGTTCAAGTCCCAGCTGGGGTGAGTGAGCAAATAATGAAAAATTCTTCTTGCAGTGAAAGGGGACCATTGTGTTTTCCTCCTTTCTCCCCCTCCAGGTACCTAAGCCTTGTCATTCCTTGTCATTTGACATTTTGTATTTTGTGCCTTTTATATTTCACCAACCAGTATTATTTGTTCTGCTGCTTTAGTTTTACATGTTGGTTTTATCTGTCTTTTGTCAACTGGATGACTATGTCTATTATTGTAAGTATTTGACCTTTGTTGAATCCTGTCCCCTCAGGGCATTGTAGTGTCCCCTATACCCCCTGGTTTATACTTGTTATGTTCCCAGTATTGTTCTCTCATTAAAAGGTATAAGGTTAAGTCCCTGTTGGTGGTCTGGCTCTGCTCTATGTGGGGGGGAGAGTCCCTACACCTCCCACAGTGCTTGTGCACCTGCTGTGATCCCTTCAGTTGGAGAGGGGGTACCTCTTGGAGTGCTGCCCGGGTTACATTTGGTTCATCTAAGGGTCATGTATGGGAACTGTAAAACTGGAAAGATCAAAAGTTCACTAAAGATGGTTACAGAAAGTATGTGGCCAGGGCAGCAGGTAGCAGGACATCAGAGTCCAGGAGCAATCTATGGCAAATGGGAAACCTCAGTTAATAGGAAGTTATTTCTGAATTAAATTAGCTCAGCAAAAAACCCTCATTTGCTACATTCATTCTGAGGAAAAAGGAACAACCACTAAGCCCTTTCATTTTTACATTCAGAAGCTTTCTGAGTCACAGGTTTGGTACAGGGAAAGGCCATAATTGGTAGGGAGAATGGCCTGGGATTCGGATGTGGCAGACCCCAGATGTGGTCTCCCAGTGGGAGAGTGGAGAGAGGGGGGAATAAATCCCCTCCCTGCCCTCTTTGCCTTAAGGGTCCATGTTGGACAGCATCTGTCTATGCCCCTGCCCCTGCCACTGGAGCAGCAAGGTGGAAGGGACCCTGATAGGGGCTGCTGTACCCTGGCCTGGCAGACCCCGATTGGGGTCACCCAGGAGGAGAGGGGAGGGAGGGGGGAATAAACCCACTCCCTGTCCCCTTTGCCTTGTGGGGCCATGCCAGGCTGGCATCTGGCCACACCCCCTCTGCTCCAACTAGAGAGCAGAGGTGAGACCAGCCCTGCTCACTGGAGCAGACAGCTCAGGCCAGCCCAGGGCTGCAAAGCATGCTGGGATGCTGGGTCACTCTGATTTAACTTAAACCAGGAAGGGGTCTGGGACAGAAGTCCCCTAAACCGGTTTGACCTCAGTCAGTTAAGACTATATTCAACCAGGTTTATCTTAAACCACTTTTGGCCATTTTGAAACTGTTTTATGTGCACTGAACTTCTGTTATGTTACAGGTTAAACCAGTTTCTGACCACTTAAACCAGTTTATGTGTAACTTCTGTCCCTAGCCAAGTTGTAGCAAAGTAAGTTTAGGTTAGATATTAGGAAAAAAATTCTCACTCCGAAGGTAGTAAAACACAGGATGGGTTACCCAGAGAGGTTGTGGAATCTCCATCCTTGGAGTTTTTGAAGACCTGGCTACACACATTCTTGGTTGGGATGATCTCCTTAGGGATGGTCCTGCTTTGAGCATGGGGTTGGACTAGATGACCTCGTAAGGTCCCTTCAAACCCTAATTTTCTATTATTCTATGATTTTTTTGTGTTTTGATTACTCCTCCTAAGGTGTAGCACCTTGCATTTGTCTGCACTGAACTTAATCCTACTAGCTCTAGCCTAACTTTTCAATCTATCAAAATCCTTGTGAATTGTGCTTGCATCCTCTAATGTGTTCACAACTCTTCCCAGTTTTGTGTCATCTACAAACTTGCTCAAGAAGCTATCTATGCCAGCATCTAAATCATTAATAAACACATTGAACAGCAATAGGCCCAGGACAGACCCCTGTGGAATTCCATTTAAAATTCCTGCTGTTCTGACACGGGCCCATTAATAATTACCCTTTCCTTGTGGCTATTGAGCCAGTTGTCTATCTGCCTTATAGAAATTTTAGCTAGCCCACATTTCTCCAATCTGTTTATGGGAAAGACATGGAGGACCTTGTCAAAAGCCTTGCTGAAATCCAGATTGACTTTTATTAGTAGATGTTTTGGATTGGGAATCCAGAAAAAAGATGACAAAGCTGATATGGAAATACAAAGCGCCCGAGCGAGGGACTAACAATAGAGGGATGGGGGAGAGGAG